GGAGTTGAAGTCCACAGGACTTAAAGTCGCCAAGGTTGAGAAACACTGGCTTAGAATGTAGCATTGCAAGCTGACTCTACCGACTGCCAGGCGTTCAATCTTGACCGACTCAAGGTTGACTTGGCCTTCCGAGGTCAACTGGGGATTCTGGGAGTTGAAGTCCACAGGACTTAAAGTCGCCAAGGTTGAGAAACACTGGCTTAGAATGTAGCATTGCAAGCTGACTCTACCGACTGCCAGGCGTTCAATCTTGACCGGCTCAAGGTTGACTTGGCCTTCCGAGGTCAACTGGGGATTCTGGGAGTTGAAGTCCACAGGACTTAAAGTCGCCAAGGTTGAGAAACACTGGCTTAGAATGTAGCATTGCAAGCTGACTCTACCGACTGCCAGGCGTTCAATCTTGACCGGCTCAAGGTTGACTTGGCCTTCCGAGGTCAACTGGGGAATCTGGGAGTTGTAGTCCACAGGACTTAAAGTCGCCAAGGTTGAGAAACACTGTGTTAAGCCAACCACTGCAGTTCTTAAGTGACTCATGTGGTCGTTAAGCAAATCTGGCTTTCCTATATTGACTTTGCTTGTCCAAAGCTGGCTGGGAAATTCGTAAATGACGATGATCACATGACCCGATGCTACAAGCATTGTAAAGGTGTGCTGGTTGCTAAGCACCTGAATTTTGATCAAGTAACCATGGGGATACTATGACGATTGTAAGTTCAAGGATCGATCATCAGTCACTTTTTTTAATGCCACTGTAACTATGAATGGTTGTACATCAAGGATTACCTGTATACCATTCCTGCTATAAGTATCTATATAGGACATCTAATTTATGAAAAATTACCCTATAGAAAACTTCCAGGGGGGGAAAAAGAAAGAAACAAGAAGAAACAAAAAGGCAAGCTCGATTAAGAGAAAACATTGGGTCAGAAGATAAAATCATACTTATCTAGCAAACAGACATCTTTAAAAGTTTACCATGGAAAGCAACTCATGTTAAATGTAATAGGGCGTAAGGTTTATCTCCCTTTAAATACAGAATTGCTTGCAATTTAACAATTTAAAGAGGGACTGTCATTTAAAATGATTTAATGTATGCCTGTCTCACAGTGAAGTGCAATTTTTTTCCAAACCTGTTTCCACTGTTAAATATACTTTCGTTATTCTAATATGATGCTGACATCCAATCTTCTGAATAGAAATCTTCTTCCTGCAGTCCCACGTTCACAGACAACTAAACCCACTGCTTGGCTTAATTACACACCATTCTCTCCACAAAGATAAAAACAGATGGAGAAATTGCAACTCCAGAGCAAGTGCCTATTTTAATCCTAACTGCAAGAAGATGGAGCCCCCCCCCCCCCCTAGGTTTTAAAGTAATCTCAGTTAAAGCCACAACATGGCAACATAACATGTTTGGAGTTTTTATACTTTTAAATAAAAGAAATGTGTGTGTGTGTGTGTGTGTGTGTGTGTGTTGCATTTGTGCTGATAAATAACTAAAGGAAGACTAATATACAGGGCGGGGCATAACNTATTTTGGGGTCAACAGCCCCAGGCCTGCCGGAACAGCCAGGTTTTAGTGGCTTTACGCAAGGCTGAGAGAGTGGGAAGGGTCCGGATCTCTGCGGGTAGATCATTCCACAGGGCCGGGGCAGCTACAGAGAAGGCCCTCCCCCGAGTAGTCGCCAAACGGCATTGCCTGGTCGACGGTACCCAGAGGAGGCCCAACCTGTGAGATCTTATAGGTCGTTGGGAGGTATGGGACAGGAGGCGGTCCCGCAGATATCCAGGTCCCAATATCCTTGCCAAGAAAACAAGATGGATGTGGACGGTTTTATTTTAGGATTGACAATTAAGTTTTTCCAACTTGAAAGATATGCAGTGAAGATTAAAATAAAAATGAGAAGCCTAACTTTCTGGACCAATTAGCAATGGAAATATATTTTCAAAAGCATACAAATATGTCTCATATTAAGAGTGGAGGTGGCTTTCTGAGTTTATTTGCCTTTAATTTGAAATTGTTATCTACATTATCGAAGATTTAATAACCAGAAAGGTTTAAGAAATGTAACTTCCCTTAAGATGTTAAAATCGAATGCTTCTTGTTGCTAGGAAACTATTAGCACAAACTCCAAGCTGAGTCCATTTAAAAATAGGTTCGGTAAATTCATTTATTTCACTGCAGGGATTTTATGGTGTCCTAAATACTGCAAGTACACACTTAAAAACACTTCACTAAGTTTAAACTCTCCCAAACCAAGTGATAGTGATAGCAACTGGGGATGGCATTGTTAACATATTTAAATTTAGTGGCCGGAGCAGTGGGGTTGTGCAGGGAGCCACAACACACAGTTGTGATTGTTAGTTAAAAGACGGCTGATCCCTGCATGAGGCAATTTGAGCTTTGATTGGCTTCTATGGGTGTGGAGGTGTTTTTTTTTTTCCCCCTTTTCTCTGCCTTTTTTCTTCTTTGTTTTTTCTGTGATTTATCTCACGATGTTCCTGTTTGCCTGACTATCTTGTTTGGTTTATATATTGATATAAATATATATTTGTGTTGTATTTGTGCTGATAAATAAATAAAGGGAGGCTAGTATAGATCTATTTCAAGCTATTTAGCTCTCATCAGCTAGCCATACCCTTACTGGGATTCGAACCTGGGCTGTATTACATCTTAGGCAGATGTGTTAACCACTAAGCCACAGGGTTCTCCTCCTTTATTGGCTGAGCCAGGGAAATAGGTATGTATTGTTTCACAACCCTTGGTATGCCCAAATATGGGGGGAAGTCTACTGCTTCCTTTCTCTGTCTATCGGCTCGTCACAAGAGAACATCACGACAGAAACCCAATATTTTTACTGTTGCCTTTGTTACACATTTTTTTGCATCTTCAAGTTGCCAAGGTTGAGAAACACTGCTGTAATGGTTAAAAGTGTGAAAAACAATGCATTGTAACTTTGGACGGTCCCTAAATGCGCTGTTGTAAATTGAGGACTGTTTAATCTCCATCACAGGAAACTCAGAATAATCCACAATAATGGTTTAGCACTATTTGTGAAGCAGGTTTCTAGGGCCTGTAATAACAGCTGCACATCGCTCAGTTCCACAGCAAAGAGAGATAGGATGCGAAGTCTACATAGAATGATAGATTGACAGATCTACTTTCTAGTCTCTGGGCTTATTTATCATAATTCTCCAACCACACACTGTTTTGGGGCAGTCCTTTGCAACAGATACACTCTATTTTCTTTAAATCATGTTCTCTAAGAAACGGAATTAATTCCCTCTGCACGGAGGGTTGCAGGTTTATTATGTTAAAAAAAAATCTTTAATAACAGCGAGGTCTTCATGAATTCTCAAACCAGCTAAAGAGGGTAGAAATCTCATTTTGAAATTATCCCCCAATAAAAGTCAAGCTATTTTCTAACGTGCTCAATTGAGCCCAGAGACCTTCAGTCAATTCATACTTGGACTAAATTGTTTAATCCAGCATTTCTTATCTAGGGAAGGAGCAAAAGACACACACACAAGTGATTAACGATGCCACCTGGTGGCAAAGAGCAGCATGTTCAGAACTAAATCTTTTTCATTCCCATAATAAACTGACTTGTCTGTTACTAATTGCAAGATTTGAAGAAAGTCACCATCAGGAAAGAACATGTCAAAATATAAGTCATAGAGGTTCACGCAATTAAGTTGTATTTGAGTTTCTCTTCAAAGACTCTACTTCAGGGATTTATCACATGTCAAGACAATTAATTTCATTTGAATTGCAATTTTGTGAGAGACAAATGCACATAAATTAGACATAAGATGTAGCAAGGTGAAGTTACTGTTAGAAATTAAGGTGAGTACAAAAAGACTGAGGATTAGATTTCAATAGTATCCAACGAGCAAACCTGTTGTTGGGATAATCCATCTGGCATCGGAGTCATGATTGCTTCTGTGTGCATGCAATCTACATCAATAAATAGTTCCTCTTCCTCAAGGCAGGTAGCTCTGTGTTCTAGAAATAAATCATATTAGAATTTCATATATGAAGATAATCAGTCCTAAAAGTATTTATTGCTCAGGTAAGATTAGCATCTGTTCCACCACTATTGAGTAAAAATGTGGAATTCATTGTTCTAAGAAAAACTCAATATACATTTACCAATAATTTTTATATAGCAATATTTCTTTTGAATAATTAATTCTCTAAAGTAGGAAACCTTTATACTCTGTCCATGAATCTACAACGCACAGAATGCTGCCATGCATCAGTAATGCTCTACGTAGGCTGGGGGCTTTATAA